ATCTACCCTTCCATTCATCTGCCAATCTAACCACCCACCCATAATGCCATCTATCAATTCACCTGCTACATTTGTCTAATATTAAAATATTGTGTTAAAAATTGATTTATTTTAGTGTGGTCTTTTAATTTATTGTTTCATTTTAGAAAATCTAGAGGAAGAGCCCAACCAAGCATTCAACCCTCATGGAAATTTAGGAAGATACTTTGAGCATTGGACAGGAACGAAATATTTACCAAATTACTACCTTAGGCAAGAATATCCCGAAGATGTTGACACAGATGAATAACTGGTCAACCAGATACAAGTAACTACAGTTTGTTGTGAACACCAAGTATATACAATCCTTACTAGCTAAGTATGAGAGTTTAAAATGTTGTATAGATAGATTCTTAGTGTTTGGATGGGGTTGTCCCATTACAGTAAATTGTTTTTCGTTTTTATTTAAGGTAAGTTAATCTAAGTRGAACTGGGATGGGAGGGTACTATAAAGTCTGATTTCAAAGATTAGGAATGTAAATAACTTGTTAAGTAACTCTGAAATCCTTGCATTTCCTGACTGAGCTAGACTATCATAAGCTGTCAGGTTGGTTCTTAAACAAGGAACCAGCAATCAAGCTTGTTCCACTTTACAGTACTTCTGAACAGCATGCCAGGAATCGTTGTCATGATGATAAGTAGGGTTTTTTTGGATGTGTGCCATTGAAAACTTTAATTTGTGTTTTTCGGACAATACTATGGAAAAACTTTGCACGATTGTTTAAATTTATGATGTCCACCAAAACCCTGTTTTGTCATCAAAAGAGAAGGTTCGTAAGCTCAAGCAAGGATATATTTGTATTATTTCTTCATGTAAATAGAATCAAAATCACCAAATAATAACTAACTGCTAACTAAATGCTAACATAATATAAATTTATAAATACACTACTGACACTTTAAGAAACATAAAGATCTGAAAAATAAATAACACATTTGTGACTGGAAATAAAACAGTCTTTGGTAACAAATAAAAATAGACAATGTGGTTTTATCCACGATTCAAGATCATTTTCAAATAAGAAATTTTCTGTTAATGTTCCCAGGAAATATTTACAGTATTATACTATAATTATTACATTATTAATTTTCAGTCATGATAAAGTTTATTTTTACTCTCTTGATTCATTGTCATTTATTCATCATTTACAACCGTCTCATTAAAGAGAAAACAATATCTTTAAAGTACTTCTTTATTTTTCATTWTTATTTTTATTTCTCATTCATTTTTAATATTGATGGTCTAACTTTTTGATTACCTGTACATCATTTTAATYATTTTAACTTGACGAGGCTACTGTAGCTTCCTTGGCTGACTTCCAGTGATGTAGCCRGAGTGTGACTTTCATAGCTAGTGGYGGYGGAGGAGGCATCTCTTCCTCTTCGTCATATAYTGTCTCTTCCTCTTTCCCAGCTTTTCCTTTCCCCCCTTTTTCTTCCTTGCCGCCTTTCACTGCCTTCCCTTGCGATGCTCGTTTATCGGTAGCCTGTCTTTGACCTTTGCCGGGCTTCTCTGCTGTATCCCCTATTACAGTAAAAATAAGTATTTTTAATCATTCATATTATCACAAATGATTAATTATTATTATTAATTAATATCAAAATAGCATTTTAAAATAATTAATAATATCTTAATATTATTAATAGTAAATATTAAAAATACATATTGTTATTGATAATATTATAAACATTATTAATTATTATTATTATTTTACAGTATTTACACCAAAATGAACTGTCATTTTTATAAAATCAGGACTCTTAAGATAGCCAGTAGGTAACAGACCTCCAGGGTCCTGTCATTCCATAATTTAAGTGGAATTTAGAAGTTGATTTTTGATGAGGGAGGAAAGCCAAAGAATCTTGAGAAAAACTCTCAAAAAGAAAACTCCTTTCAAAAAAAAGTTTGAAGATGTTTTTCTATATTTCACCATGTGTTGTATCTTTGAGAAACCTTTTTGTTAAAAATTACATCCATAATAGATCTTTTTCTAGTTCCAAATTACYGCTGTGTTCCTTGATTACAGACTCATTTACTCAGGCTTAATCTTGTATCAGTGTCTAAATATTCACAAATACCAATGGTAAAGTAAAGAATRCACAACTTCAATGATTACAAACACTTTGAAATTCCACGGACCTTCACTGGAACACATGAATATCGTACACAAAGTCTGGTCTGGGCTAACCCTGAGCAACAGACAACTGGACATGCTCGAGAAATAATATTATGTATTTTGAATTTAGCAAAATGCCAAGACTAATAAACTATCACCTTTATGTGATTTCTTCTTTTCGCTTCCACCATGTTTCCCACTTGCTACACTCCTATTATCATCTGCCTTTGGTTCAGCATTTGTCTTTTCTTCTTCCTCGCAAATACATTCCYGTGTTACTTCAAATTCTCCATCCAGGAGAATACTCAGATTGACATGACAGGATCCTAGTGTTTTGTGTTCTCTTGGTAACTCAAACAATTCCATMTCTTCATGCTTTCCCTTCCCTTTTCCTTTCCCATCTTTTCCCTAAGAAAATAATTTTTTTTAAAAGTATGATTATTTCCCTTTTTACCAATATGGTGGCACAGAGCAAAGCGAGTTAGGTGAATGGTTTGATGGACTTACGGACTTACTCAGGTGTGAAGGAGGATGATAATGATTTTGGCTAGTAAATAAGTTATAAGTACCCTGCGACCCTGCGAGCAGAGGTTTTTTCTTCTTCAGCCAAAATGGAGGGTAGGGTAATTACTAGTAAGTGTGTACATTTTACTCATCCCACCTTGTCTTTTGGTTTTGTTCCTGAATCTTTTCTTTTATCAGTCTTGTCTTTGTTGCCACTCTTCTTGCGCTTGTCTTTACTTTCTTGGTGCCCTATGAACAAAAAATATCAAGATATATTTTCAGAATCTATACAATAGATATCAGCCCAATCTTGWCTGTTTTCTCATTTCAGATCTTTATTTATTTCTGGTGTTCAATACTTAATTTTACAGTTCCGTTTAGTGACCACAAATAATAGTTCCAAGTCGAGGTTGGAGTTTCTATGCGTAGCAAACAGCAACTCCAACCTCRGCTTGGAAAAATTATTTATGGTCATAAACGGAACTGTAAAATGGAGTATGTGAGACAACTGCTCACTTTAAGGTGCGCAGGGTCATTTGACCTTTTAGTTCCATTAAACTCAAAATTGTCAGAAGTCACTCAATTATTTTTGTTGTTGTTTTGTTTTGTATCCATGCACGTCACACTAAACACAAACAAAATTATGTCCTGTCTAGTTTATTACCTTTTGCTGAGGTGATGTGTTTTGAATCTTCCTGCAGAGCATTAGGATCTTCCTGCACATACGAGTGCTTGGTTTCAATAACATTAAACTCTATTCCTTCCTTTAGAAAGTCTCTCAATTCAATCAGCTTTTTGGTGTGAAAGTCTTTGAAGTAGTTCACATCAATGGACTCCTCTGCCCAAGGAAGACTTTCACTTCTGTTTTTAAGTAACRAACCTGAATTGAAATGATAAAAATAAGCTGTGCTTTGAATAAATTATCAAATTACTATCAACATCACCATCATCATCACCATTATCATCACCACCATCATCAAAATAAGCTGTGCTTTGAATAAATTATCAAATTACTATCAACATCACCATCATCATCACCATTATCATCACCACCATCATCA